GTCGCGCCCTCTCCGCCTCCGTCGGAGTCGGCTAGTGACATCTCCAGTGTGGGCCTGCTCGTCGTGCCGCCTTCATCGCCGTGCTCTCCCTCCGCCGACTCCGCCCTTCGCGCCTTGCCGTCGGGCCCGGACCCCCCGTCTCCCCTGGTTTGACCTCCCCGGTCCCCATGGGTGGCGGCGGGTGCACTCCCATCGGCGTGCCTTCTCCGACACTCCCACTCGCGGGGGACGCGGCCGGCGACATCCTGGTGCTCGTCGCCCCACTCCCCTCGCTGGTGGACTCCGACGTCCGCCTCGCACCGCCTGCTTCCCCGACCGCGGCGGTGGCCGTTGTTTTGACCACTCCGGCCTCTGCTCACCCTCCTCCGACGGTGGCGTATGCCAGGCGGCCCCGCTCCACCTCGCCGCAGGTGACGGCGTCCCGCCGCAGCGCCCGCCTCGATGCGACCCGCCCAGCGGACTCCTCGGCTCCGTCCATCTCCGAGCGTGCGGAGCTTAGGGCGGCGGTCCGGAACCTCGAGTCAGGTATGGATCCCGCCCTTCCCAGTTCTTCCAGTTGTTCCTTTTCCGCGCTTGAGGCCGTTCCTCTTGGCCACCTTGCCAAGGTGGCCACTGACTCGATCATCATCTTCAGGGGGAGGTTGGTCCCCCCTTAAATCAGATCGCGACCATTAGGTCTCGTGAGATCTTAGATGGCAAGCTGGCTGAGACTCGGGCGCGCTTGCTTCGGCCTCCCAAGGAATCGTCCGCTACCCCCGCGGTTCGCGTTCCTCCGGTGGCCGATGGGGTGATCCGCTCTCGCGCTGCTGCTCTCCACATGCAAAGCGCCTCCCGTGTCCTAGGTTCAAGCAGCCCCCCAATGGGGGCTTAGATGCGGGCCCTTTTCTGGAACATCCGTGGCTTCGGCCATGATGGCCGTCACCTCCAACTCATCGAGTACATGCGAGACGAACACATTGACATCATTTCCATCCAAGAAACCATGCACACCGTGTTCTCCCTCCACGAGCTCGAATGTCTTAGTTCCCACCTCTTCGCCTGGCATTGGCTCCCTTCTAGTGGGACCATAGGCCATTCTGGCGGCATCCTTTTAGGGGTAAAGGATGCCACCTTTGAGGTGGGTGGCATGGACCAGGGTGAATTCTTCCTTAGTATGGAGATCTTCGAGCGTGCTCTTAACTTCAAATGGGAGGTCGTGATTGTGTATGGACCGGCGGACCACCGCGCTCCCCGGCCTTCCTGGCGGAGCTACATCTGAAGATCTCCAACTCCCTCCTCCCAGTTGTAGTGGGCGGAGACTTTAACCTCATCCGATCCCCAGATGAGAAGAATAATGACCGGATTAACCTCCCCCGGATGCAGTTATTCAATGACTGGATCGCGGAGCTGGGTCTCCGTGAGCTAGATCGGACGGGTGCCAGGTTCACTTGGACAAACCGTCAGGTTGACCCGACGCAATCCGTCTTGGATCGCGTCCTAGTTTCCCCGGAGTGGGAATTATGTTGCCCCCTGGCCTCGCTTTGTGCGATTACCCGGATCGGGTCTGACCA